GCCCCTTGGTGATATCAGCACCACGGACAGCAATATTGATTGCTTTTGAGAAACCATCACAGCTGCTCACCCAAATTACCTTTGATATGTGACCTTTAATGTAATTACTGCAACATCAAAGCATTTCTATAAATTATTAAAGGACTAATATACTTCATCATCCCACCATTCTATTATATGTAAAATATAAACAACTGCCAGCAAACATGTCACACATTTGAATCGCCCCATGCGCAAGTTGACTTGAATGTGTTTCACATTTTCAGATGATGGCAGCTAAGACTCAAGGGAAGTGTCCCAAACACTTAATTCCATGAGATGAGGGCAAGTCAAAATTCACAGAAGCTTGCTGAAAGATACAGATATTTTCCACTCCCCATTATATAAAATAATAATAATAATAATAATAATAATAATAATAATAAAGAAAATAAACACACATGAGCATAAAAAGCAAGAAATGTAACATTTTTAAAATTTATTGCCCCCCCCCCCTCTCCTTATAACTCAAAAAGCCTTTGTTTATTTACATATTTACCGGAACTTAGAAGCCAAATAGAGTCCTAGAATTTATATTTACATCTAAATTGGTTTAGGAGTGTCTTGGCTGAAGATTGTAGAAAAAGGGACAAGAACACAAATTGTAATTGCTAAATGGGATTGAAGAGAAAGATTCTGAATCCACGAGGAAGGGCTAGGTTACTCCTTTCTCTTCCCTTCATCACAGTCCCACTACCTATCTTATCCACTATTTCTGGATTGTTTTACCTTTGCCTTCTCTCCATTATTATTAGTGATGCTAGGTAGATGCTGTCAGAACAAGAAATTGTTATTAGTTCTTAAAAAATATGTCAAGAGAGCATGCTTCCTTCTTGCCCACCCTCTTGACATAAGAAAGCTTTCCTATTTTATGGCATTGAACTATGGCTGATATTATTCTGGCATGTTATCAACCACTGTTAGGATTGGCCATAAATTTTAAACACTCACAGGCATGCCATGCTCACACTCTCACACAGCATAAAATGGGATATAGGGTTACTATAGGACAAGGACTGTTTCCCTTAAATCAAATCTACCATTAACTTCACAGATGGTGATCAGATAGCTCTCCAGATGTGGTGGGCCTACAAATCCCAGCAGCCTTAAGCAAAGGATGAGAAATTCTGTGGCAGCCCCACGGTTTCTGGATTGCTGGGTAAGACCCATCTGTAGGTTATGGATGTAATATTTTGCCGTTTTGAGTCCCATTGTGGGAGAAAAGTGGGAGAAAAGTAAGTAAATAAATAAATAATTTGTTTTCGGGATAAATAATCAAAGCTTGAAAATGTTATTTGCTTCCAACTGCAACTCCAAAAAGTACTTCACACATAATGGCCAGTCATCATGTTGGTGTTGATTGGCAACTATGGGAGCAGTAGTTTCAAAATGAACTTTTTCAGTCTCTGTCACTAAAAGTGTCCATGATTCTTTTCGCACAGACACAGGATAAAAATGTCTTGTATACTCCTCAATAAGAGCCCACAAGTATTATTGTAGACTTATGCCCCTTCTACACTGTCCTTAAATCCCAGGATCCAATCCCAGGTTATCTGATTATCCCAGATTATATGGTAGTGGAGACTCATATAATCCAGTTCAAAGTAGATAACCTGGGATCAGATCCTGGGATATAAGGACAGTGTAGAAGGGGCGTCAGTAATAGAGGTTGCTATTGGGGTTCCAATAGAAGGTAGTAGAATGTGAAGAAAGGTTAGTTAGTCTAGTTACTTCAATAGTGAAAAAAATACCATCTTACCCCTATTGTATTGACTTAAACATTATCTATAATATGGATAGGACATCTCTCTATGCTTTTGCCTTTGTCACCTTTGCCTTTGTCACTTTCTGCTGAAGGCAGAAAGATTGGAATATGCCCCAGCAAGACTTGGCATTGCTGAGGAGAGGGTACATGGTGTGAGATGCTTTCTTAGGGTTAGACTAAGGTCAACAAGGGAAGTTGGATATACCTAATTTTTGAATTTTGAAGAAATTCAGAAGTTAGGTAGATCTAACAACAAATTATCTGGTTTTTGCATTGAGTGAACCAGATCTGACACCCCCAAAGAGAAGTTAGGTAGATCTAACTTCTCTTTGGGGGTGCCAGATCTGGCTCACTCAATGCAAAAACCAGATAATTTGTTGTCTTCAGTCAAAGGATAACAATACAATATAATCCAAATATGTAAATGCTCTAGTTTGTACCTTTTAAATATCCTAGAACAGCAGGTCTAAAATCTGGATCCCCAAGATGTTGTATGGCTGAGCTTTGCCCATATTGGCTAAGATTTCTAAGAATTGTAGCCCTATACATCTGGGGATACAACTTTGGGAGCCAAAGCCATGACTTTTATCTCTTAATGTATCCTTCCTGCAATATTCTATCAGAACATTACAACTGTTTTCTCATACTCTAAAATAAGATAAATCACATAAAGAAGGGAGCCATGCAATCATATCCTTAGCCTAACATTAAGAAACACTGACATTTCTCTATAGTATGCATGTGTTGCATTGTGTACATGCAAAAATAGTTCCAGAACTGCAAGGTGAAGACTATAACTTTGGTTTTAATGGCAGATCTATCACAGCTGCTCTACTTTTGAATTATAGCTAGCTATCTGCTAAGCACAGTTTAGGAATAGGATTCAGTAAGTGGAGAGCTCCCATACAATGTTGTGGAACCCCGGCAGAGCAACCATTAAAACCAAACAGCTGCAATTAAAACTAAGGGAGGATTTCCTGCACTACCAATCCAGAGCCATCATTGGCTTCACACGCATGAATGCCTGCAAAATCCTTTTCAAACAAAGTGGCTGAAATAAGAAAGTTAAATTTTAGGGAGTACAATACATGGATCTGATGGTCCACCATACAATGGGGTGATGAATCCCTTCAGTGTTTTAGTCTGAATTCTTAAGGACATAGCAAAAGTCCTGAACCTGTTTGGGAGACATAGTTCAGGACCTTGGATAGCTGCTTGAAAGTCCAGAGAAAATTCACAGCCTCACTAACATCAGAGACAAAAGCTGACAATGATTTGTTTGGGAACTGTACCCTTCTTGTCACCATTGCATTGAAGACAGTTTGTTGCACCAACACTTGTAGACACAATGCAATATGGCCTCCTGGCAGCAGGGAGTCGAGAGATAACCATTTTCATATAGATTTAGGAGGCTAACTACAAATACACCTCATGCTCCTTTAGTTTTTGTGTGCGCATCTCTAATAAAATACAGTCAGTAAAATCTAACATCTCTCTGAAGTACCAATTGCATTTTCCATTGGCTTTTTCCTTCTTTTTAAAAAAGCTGTTCCTTACTGCTGAAGCAGAGACTGCAGAAAAAAATAAAATAGAAAGGAAAAGGTTGTCCATTAGCAGGACCAATAAACTTGGAACCACTTCTATCTTTGATATCACTGCAGCTAAACAAGTAGGAGGACTATTTTCTCAAAAGAGTTGTTTGGAGGTATTTTGTCACTTACAAAAGAAAGAGCATAAAGACCATACGAGTGAATGCAGACAGAGGATTGTGTTTATGCTGGTAGCAAGGGATGGTAAATTACTCATTTGTATTCAGTAACCCTAGGTGATGATGAAAGAAGCCTTATTGATAAGCACAGAATTGTAAATTACCTTGGTTAAGAACAATCTGGAACCCCAAACTCTAAAACAATCATATCAGAAATCTACAAGGATCAGAGATTGACATTTGAGCAATGCTCCTGTTTTAGTAAGCAAACACACATAGGACAGGACTTAAGCAAGGTGGTATTAAATGTTCAGGTTCTGCGCCCACTCCCGGTTTTGAAGACTATTTAATCACCACATCTTGGGACTCTTAATGTTCTTCCAGTTGAGTTGACGTAGGTCAACACTTGCTTCACATCAGAATCAAATATTAAACCTATTATTATATAGGTTTAATAATAAAATATTATTATAGGATATTTATTTCCGGCTCAACAACTTGCCAAACATTCTAGGGAAGTCTTTGGCACAGATGGCAATACTTCACAGGGAGAACATCCAATTCAACATAATGGGAGTCAACCAGTATAGATTTCAACATGCATAGGATTGTGTACTCAAACATTGAAACTTATGCACTCATGATTTACATTGAGGATGGGATAGAGTTGAACCCGACAGTGTGGACTGCCCCACTGGACCTCTACATTCAGTTTAGTTACTTTGTCCACTTTTATCTGTAGGAAGTGAAACATTGTATCAATCAGACACTGAAATGTTATGCTATGGTCAGATATTGACCCCCCAGTTTCTTAGACATCTTGTTGATCCAGATGAGCCTTTAGAATAGTGGTTAAGATCATGTAGCCCTCCAACTGTTGTTCAACTCCAACTCCCAGCATTACTCAACACTGACTAGGACTGCTGGGAGCTGCAGTCTAATGGCATCTGAAAGGCTACACATCTCCCCCAGTTATAGAAGAGCAGTAGTTTGTTTAAAGATGTACATTGAATTGAGAAGAACAGAAGGCCCTCTTTGTATTGCTCAAGCCAAACTACCTGTCTGTAATCCTCTCGTGTTCATCTTTCCCTGCTAGATATTGCCTAATTTTTCCATCCCATATAACCCTTAAAAAAAGCCAGAATCCCATTAGTCATCAGAATAATTTTCTTGATAACTCAATATCCCAGATTGCCATTGTAAAGTTATTTCAGTAAAGATAGAACTTTGTCCCCACCCCCTTCCCATCAATGATAGACATTCCCATTCTGAAGGTCTCGCAAAAGATAGCCAGCATGATCTGGCCCATGCGTCCTCCTCCACTTCGTGCAAAAGAAGGGAAGGGGGAGCCATTCAAAGCTAAACCAAGGCAACATGGATTCCATTTCTCCAACGTGAACCAGATTTCTGAGAAGCAATAGGACAACATTAGAACAGAAACGGCACCATTATGAAATGGTGTCAGTTGAAAGAGCAATCTAGACTCACCCCTGGCAGTGTCTTCTGTTCATGCAGTGCACTCTGGGCTTTAAGAGCGGACTCCCTTTCACAGTATGTTAGGAAGGCACAGCCTGTAAAAGAAAGAAAGAAGGCAGGGAAAGCGTAAGAACTCAATTGGAACAGACCAAGGTTGGACCTCATTCAGCATTCTATTACCATGGTAGACCTCCAGATGATTGTCGAGCACCCATGAACCCTTCTGTTGGGCATTTTGAGGCACACTGCCCCTTTCCTGATGCAGCATTCAAAGTTAGAATCAGTAGAACAGATAACACAACTACCTGGATATACTTAGGGAGAAACTTTGAATAAGCTCCATATGCTTCTTTGATTTCCTTGCTTAATATAAGTAAAGACTATAACTTCATAAGAAATCAAATTTGCAAAGGAAGTATTAGCCATCTGGTTCAAACCTATATTTTTGTCATCTACAGGTTCATTTACACTATAGAATCAATGCAGTTTGACATGACTTGAACTGTCATGGTGCCTGGGATTTTTAGTTTGGTGAGGTACCAGCACTCTGGCAGAGAAGGCAAAAGGCCTTGTAAAACTATAACTCACATGTGTTGATGTAAGTTTTTCAGGCTGTATGGCCATGTTCCAGAAGCATTCTCTCCTGACCTTTCACCTGCATCTACGGCAGGCATCCTCAGAGGTTGTGAGGTCCTCTGACATTCTCACAACCTCTGAGGATGCCTGCCATAGATGCAGGTGAAACATCAGGAGAGAATGCTTCTGAAACATGGCCATACAGCCTGAAAAACTTACAGCAACCCAATGATTCCAGCCATGTAAGCCTTCAATATAACTCTCATGATTCCATCGTATCGAGCCATGACAATTAGAGTGGTGTCAAACTGCCTTTATTCTACAATGTAGATGCACCCTACACCTACAGTAACATCAAACTATATCTATTATATCTGTGAATGTGTGTGTGTAAATTGCTAGCTCCACCATTATGTCTACTCTGCCCTTTTCTAGAGCACCCACACTTTAAACACAATGGCAAACAGAAGCAATATGCCAGATGGAAGCCAGTACAAGTGTTGTAAAATATATGTATAGAGAGCTTTTTTACAAAAGGTAAACCCCTTACAGCTAACCAATTACAGGAAAAAATTAGAAGAGTTAAGACCACCCTGGTTTCAAATTGCTCAAGTAACTGCATCGCACAATATACACAGATCGTTAGCTGGGAGCTTTAACGACATAGGAAACTCCATGTGAAAATAATTCTCTCAAAACTAGAGGACCAATTTCAAGCATGTATAAAGCGATTATAGAGGATTCGTTTGGTACCCAAAAGGCGGTGAAGCTAATTTGGAAATCAAATCAAAGGTGCAGATACAATTGAGAGAACAACTTGAGGTGGAGTTAAGGTAAGTAAGCGCATACATCGGCCTGCAGATAAGTTGAGTGAGGTCTTTTTCATTAAAATTTCTAGACTCACACATGAGTATATAGGGAACATCAATTTCTGCTCTTTCCAAAGTAGTGGTAACTTCAAAAAAGTTCAGAAATGGCCTTTAATGTCTATTAAATTATACAAAAATTAATAATGCAATCTCATACAAAATGCTTGAGACTGGGTTGTTATAGGTTCCTTGTAATTTATGCAAGTCTTTTGCCCTAGGGTTAAATATTTTTGGGCAGGAATCTAATCTGATTAAATCAAATGATAAAGCAAATATTATTTTTTAATTAATAATATCAATTTTTGATGAGGAAAAGGTAGGACTGACACATAAAGTTCTGATCTCAATCCTGATTGGAGCTTCCAGAGCTGATGTAGCACGATCCCAGTAAATGCAAATGGATTATTTTTCTGACGTTGTCTGGTTAGGCTGTGTCGGATTGCTCTAACTCAAAAATTGAGAACCAAAACTCAATTTACAAGGAGAAAGATAGCAAAAGATGACTTTGCAGAAACATGGAATCCATTAGCATCTCAGGTTTTGGACAGTAAGTTACCCAAATGAGAGAGGAGCTACTCAATTTACAGTTAGTGTTGTAAGGCCATTTTTGTTTTATTTTTTTTTAATTGGATTGTTGGAATTAAGCAATAGGATAGGGGATTATTATCTACCAGCAATATCCAGATTTGATAGACAATAAAGGTGTTTCTACTGGGAGATGGAAATGAGGACACTGCATCCCCAAATGAAATTTTCCTTCAATCCTCAAAGGTCTAGCCTTTCAGCAACTTAAAACCAGTGAAGCAAAGGTATCCAAAGACAAAGTGACAAAGTGAATGTGAGAAAGGAAATGGAAGGTGTGAATATAGGAAAGTTTCATATTAATTTGACCAATGTCCTCATTTCTCCCCTCCCTATAGCTATGGCATCCGATTAGATATGTCCTTCATGCTGTGCCCATCAGAAAAAAAGAGATGCAACCTCCCAAGGACAGAGAAATTATTCCCAAGGGGTAAGGATACAACAAAGGCAGATTCCCTTTAGAAGTCTTTCTCCCATCAGCAGAAATGGGATGGGAAATGTATGGCCACTGAAGTTCTCACCTGTCCCTCAAAGCATTCCAAACACCTCAATGTGTTTTTCAAATGTTCAGCATTATTTTTAGGTAATTTGTGTTCCAAACCTCATTGGAAACCTGCAAAGAGCCTCAAAATTATAACCATGCAATCACCAAAACCCCTTCCCAGGATTCCACACAAATACCCCCATTTCCATCATAGATCATCTCAAAATGGCAACAAAGGTGATGCGGTTTCATTTCCAGCCACCATTTTCAAAACAATACTGTCTTAACCCTGCCCTACCTATCGATCAGGACAGTGCTGGCGCCTCAAGAAATGACAACTCTTATAGAATCATAGAATCAAAGAGTTGGAAGAGACCTCATGGGCCATCCAGTTCAACCCCATTCTGCCAAGAAGCAGGAATATTGCATTCAAATCACCCCTGACAGATGGCCATCCAGCCTCTGTTTAAAAGCTTCCAAAGAAGGAGCCTCCACCACACTCCGGGGCAGAGAGTTCCACTGCTGAACGGCTCTCACAGTCAGGAAGTTCTTCCTCATGTTCAGATGGAATCTCCTTTCTTGTAGTTTGAAGCCATTGTTCCATGTCCTAGTTTCCAGTGAAGCAGAAAACAAGCTTGCTCCCTCCCCCCTGTGGCTTGCTCTCACATATTTATACATGGCTATCATATCTCCTTTCAGCCTTCTCTTCTTCAGGCTAAACATGCCCAGCTCCTTAAGCCACTCCTCATAGGGCTTGTTCTCCAGACCCTTGATCATTTTAGTCGCCCTCCTCTGGACACATTCCAGCTTGTCAATATCTCTCTTGAATTGTGGTGCCCAGAATTGGACACAATATTCCAGGTGTGGTCTAACCAAAGCGGAATAGAGCATGGGTAGCATGACTTCCCTAGATCTAGACACTAGGCTCCTATTGAAGCAGGCCAAAATCCCATTGGCTTTTTTTGCTGCCACATCACATTGTTGGCTCATGTTTAACTTGTTGTCCACGAGGACTCCATAATTTCACAGCATTGAGCCATGGCAATTACACTGGTGTCAACCTGCATTGATTCCACAATATAGATGCACGCTAAGAATATATCTCCAGTATTACAAGCAGAGAGGTGACTTTTGAGTCCTTTGCTTGCAACCCTTTAGTTGAGGGATGGACATCTATATCAGGTTCACGGGTCACTTTCCTGTTCCCAGATCTTGTGGTCCAAGATGTGGCAGAGCAGCTGATCTTCTTCTGGATCTAATAAATAACTATTTTCATATTATTTATTTATTCACTTTCCGTTTCTCCCACACTTTGGAACTCCCTCCCTAAGAATACTTGAATGGCTTCATCCTTGATCTCCTTTCATCAGAAAGTAAAAACATTTTATTCCATAACAGTGCTGTGTCAGGCTACATCATGAAGGGGGGTGATGCAGATTATTATTGTGTTTATCTTATAGTCTTCTGATTTGGAAATGTAGCTTTATCGTATGGGCTAGCATTATATTGGTGACTTATCCTCTGTTTTTATAAAGTTCAGAATGTTTCAATTTAGTTCCTGGTTACTGAAGTGGAGTTGTACATGCATTGTCAGTTTGCACTACAGGCTGCATATTGTGCACACAAAAAAGCATTTGGTTGTACTTCCAGTTACCCAGAATTTCAGTTTACTAGCAAGGTGGCATTGCACCATCATCGTGCAACCCTGAGGATGCAAGGTTGCACTCTAGGTGCATCTACATTGTAGAATTAATTCAGATTGACACTACTTTAACTGCTGTGAAACGGTGGAAGCTGTAGTTTTACAAGGGATTTAGCTTTCTCTGCCAAAAAGTACCAGTGCCTCACCAAACTACAACTCCCAGGATTCAAGAACATTAAGCCATGGAAGTTAAAGTGGTGTCAAACTGCATTAATTCTACAGTGTAGATGCACCCACTATCTCCCTGATGTAAGATCTCAGCCATGGTTTCCTAAGTCAGAAGTGCTGACTATAACTTCAGAACAGCCAGGGCAAGATTTCCAGAAACCAGGGGGTTAAGATTTGAACATTCCTCCCTGTCTCTTCCCATCAATAAAGACATGGACATTTGCTTGATCTGCATGATTTATTGAGGCCAGCTTGTCATGCTTCAGAATTTGGGTTACACCACTGCATAATCTGAATGTGTTTTAGTTATTTCTTTATGAACGCAGTATTGGCTGTCGTGGCAATGGGAGATGGGATGATGGTTGCTTGTGATGTTCCTTGCCTGTGGATAGATATTTTACATGCAGGAGAATAGGGACTTGCAGCTGGAGGGAGGGAAGAAAGCCTAATGATTTGAGAATGGTCCTTAAAAGATAGTCACTTGGTAATCAAAGGGGAAGCTATGCTTAAGATTTAATTTTGGTGTTAAATCATGCACTGAGTGCTCTCCGCTGACCAAACAATGAGCGCAGATTCTGTCACTGGTAGCAAACCCAGAGTAGTTGATATAGTCTAATTAGGCTCATCATAGCACACCATTGGAGAGATAAACTATAGAGTGTAAAGCTCCCATAATGGTAGCTATATATTTCCTCTTCTAGTGATGGTCCCCAT